TACACAGATACCAGTTCACTAGCACGGACCATCGAAGCAAGACAAGGCAGCGCTTACGAAGCAGGAAGCTGACGACGACGCACCCACCAGGGGATCAGTCCAGCTACCGCTACAAAAAGGCCTGCAACGCCGGTGGAACTTCACTTGGTGGCAGCAGGGGCAGCGCAAGAAAGCCGTGTTAAGCACGCTCTGTATTTATTACACAGGTTAGCACTTTTTTCTCCGTTGGGTTCACGAACCTTTTGTTTGTTTCTTTTTTGCTGCCTCTACTTGCTGCCCAATATAGCGACCGTGTGCATAAACTATTTTTCCTTTTCTTTGTTTGCATTTTGTCACCTGAAGCGATGCCGGAAGATTTCCGAGAAGAGCTCAGGAAAGAAATGCGCGATTTCAAACCAAAACTGGAACGCGAACTCAGGACAGAAATGCGTGAATTTAGGAAAAGTTTGGAATTCATGAATGATGAACTTGAAAAGACAAAGAAAGAACAGATAGAACTTCTCAAAGAAAATAAGGCGCTCAAAGAAGCAAACGCGAAGCTAGCTGCAGATTGTGAAATGCTGAAAAAACAGAGCTCTGAACATGAGCAGCGGCTCACTGCGTCGGAACAGTACTCACGCAACCGAAACATTGAAATTAAAGGCATACCCCAATCGAGTGATGAAAAGCTTCTTGAGACTCTTCATCGTGTTGGAGAACTTTTGAATGTCCCCATTGATGAAAGCGACGTCGAAGTTTGCCACCGTGTTGTCTCGAAGAATGTAAAGGACACTCCAAACATTGTTGCACAATTTAAAAGCCGCTCTAAGCGGGACATGGTTCTTCAAAAGGCAAAGAAAATGCGCATAACAAGTGAAGATTTCGGTCACTCGCAAGGGACGCCTGTGTTCATAAACGAACACCTAAGCCCAGCCATGAAGCACCTGCTTGGCATGGCAATTGCGAAAAAGAAGGCTCAGAACTGGCGTTTCGTGTGGACGAGCAACGGAAAGATTCTCGCCAGAAAGGAAGAATCCGCTCCGGTAGTGCACATTCGCACTGCGCAGGATGTTGAAAAGATAGTGTGATCCACACCACCCATTTCTATGTGTTCATCTCGTCTTCAAGATGGCTCAATCACCCCATGACGTCGATCAGTTATTCAAATCTCATGCAGGTATCATGCTCACATGTTTTCATTTAAACATTCGCTCGGCAAGGCATAAAGAGGACGAATTATCGGTCCTTTTAGACGCTATGGATTTTCAGTTTGACATAATCATGTTAACCGAGACCTGGTATGACACAAACAGCAACATATACGAACGTAACGGGTATCGCAGTTTTTTTATAAATAGAGCTACACGTCAGGGTGGTGGCGTGGCTATCTTAGTAAAAAACGAACGAAAATCTGAAATTATTGCGAAAATCTGTACCATTACGAGTGATATTGAGTGTTTATGTATATTATCCCACAAACAAGTTTTCTGTGTTGCATATAGACCACCAGACGGAAACTCGGCTTGTTTCATCAGTCATTTAGATAAGATGCTAGGCTATGTAAATGACAATAGATATAAATTAATACTTGGGGGTGACATTAACATAGACCTATTGCAACCTTCCCATAATCGAGCGGCCCTTCTCAGCACTGTCGAGTCAAATGGCTATACGCTTTTAGGAAACACTGCGACGCGCGTCACTCCTTGCACAGAATCATTGCTTGACGTGTTTATCACGAATATGAGCACAGAAAACGTGATATCAGGAGCCTTGTGCTCCGGTATCAGCGACCACTTTCCCATTTACATGCTCGCAAGAACATCAGTAAAACATAAGCTGCAGGATGCAGAAGCAAAAATAACAACTCAGAAAATCACCGCTGAAACATTGCATGCTTTCATTTCAAAGCTTCGAAAAGAAGACTGGGAAGACGTCAGACGTAGTGAAACTGCAGATGCAGCTTACGAGGCATTTATTTCCATTTTTAAACGTATCTACCATGAGCATTTTATCCTAATAACGCAGAATATAAAAAAGGGTAAAGGTCGTAAACCATGGATAAACCGTGAATGCTTAAAAAGAATTAAACAAAAAACGAGATTGTTCAAAAAGTTTCTTAAGAGTAGACTGGATACTGACTTTGATATCTTTAGGCAATATAGAAATAAGCTAACCTCTTTCCTTAGAAGTGAAAAGAACAAATATCTGCATGACCAGTTCCGCAGGGAATACTGTAATCAAACAGGAGATGTATGGAAAAAACTAAATAAACTGTTAAACCGTACGCAACCGCCATCGACTGTCGATGATCTCGTTATAAACGGTAAGCGCATAAGCGGAAAAGAACTTGCTGAAGCGTTCAATAAGTTCTTTCGGGATGCGGTTAGTATCGGACAGTGCATCCCTCCTGCAACCTATGGTATTAAGGAAAATAAGCACAGTATTTATTTAGAGCCAACGGATGAACACGAGGTGCGAGATATTTATGCGTCTTTCAAAAACAGCAGAGCTAGGGATATTGACGATATACAGATCGAGCCGGTAAAGTTTGTGCTTGACGTCATTGCTCCTTTGCTTGCCCACATATACAACCTTGCAATAGCAACAGGCTGTTTTCCGAAAATGATGCAGATCTCTAAAGTTAGTGTCCTGCACAAAAAGGGCGATAGGAATGAGTTGTCGAATTACAGGCCGATTTCTGTATTGCCTATATTTTCAAAGGGCCTTGAGAAGATTATTCATAAACGAATAACAAAATTTAGTCACGCTTTCAATTTAATTAATGAGTCTCAGCATGGCTTTCTCCACGGCAAATCAACTGAATCTGCACTACTAACCCAGAAGGAAATAATTTCTTAAGGCTTTTGAATTAAAACAGATATGTGTAGGCATTTACATAGATTTTTCTAAGGCCTTTGGCCGGATTCAGCATGCAACTTTGTTAGAAAAACTGCAACTATATGGTATTCGCGGCGTGCCACTGCTTTTGATAAAATCCTACTTGAAGCATAGGTTTCAATGTGTCAGCATAGGAACGGCCGTTTCATCGTTACAGCAGGTAGTCACTGGCGTTCCGCAAGGAAGCATATTGGGTCCTTTATTGTTCATCCTTTACATAAACGATATAAACACTATCAACAAAACACCAACTTATGTAATTTACGCTGATGACACTAGCCTATTTTTCACTGGAAAAAATTTGCAAATTTTAGCACCTGAAATAAATAACGCCCTTGAAGACATACAAAAGTGGAGTAAAGAAAACTCGCTGTTGATCAATGATAAAAAAACAAAGGCCGTTCTTTTTCATCCGCGTCAGCTTTCAGTCACCATTGATAGTTCCTTATATTTAGGCACGGCGCCTATAGAATTTGTAAACTCAATAAAAATTTTAGGTGTGCTGTTCCAAAAAAATATGTCCTGGGACTATCATTTCGACCACGTTCAATCTCACGTGACTAAAAGTGTGGGTGCTATTGCAAAATTTCGACACATTCTTCCTGTATCGATAAAACTCATGCTGTACAACACGCTTTTTTATCTCGCATAAATTATTGTTCTTTGGTGTGGGGAAATTTCACACAGAGGAATAACCATAGAATATTAATGTTACAAAAAAGGGCTCTTTGGTCCATAGCTAACGTTGAATATCATGCGCACACAAAGGATTTGTTTCATCGTTTTAACGTTGTACCCATAGGAAAATTTTATGATTGGAAACTAGCTATCAGATATAAAAAGGCTGTTTATAAAAATCAGCATGACCTTCTAAATCTTGCTAATCTAAGAGGAAATGTTCCTTTCTATTCTCTCCGCAAACAAGACTTCTGGAACATCCCCTTCTGCCGAACTGAATACGGACGACAAATGTTACAGTATTGTTTGCCTCACTTGCTAAATACTCTCCTCAGAAGCGAAATAGAAGTAGAGAAACGCAGTATAAGTCATATTAAAAAACACTTCCTGTAACCAATCACCGTAAAAAAAAAAAATTTGTACTGTATGAAGAGAGATATATTTACATTGCTTTTGTTTGTTTGATGTTTGCCTGTTGTTTTTGAATAAATTGTTGGGTCAAATCATTATCTCTATCGATTGACTATCGGCATGAACATTTACACATACCCTGTATCATTGTTGTAACGCGCTGGTATGATTCCGTGAGAGTATCATTGTTAGTATTTTTTTTTTCTTCATGTATGTAACGCGCTAGTTTGTTTTCTGATAGCGTTTTCACAGCTTTGTGTGTCTCTACTGCTATGCCTCGTATATGGGGGCTTGGGCTTTCCTCAAGCGAATTGTTTCGCTTTTCGCCCAAGCTTGCCCACATCTTCAGGATGTAAATAAACTTTGATTTGATTTGATTTGATTTGAATGCCATACATGTCCACCATCGTTTTTCATTATCACCAACTTTTTTCACCTATTCACACCACACACACCTTTCACGGCATGGTCATGATTTTATTACTTGTATGTTTTTACCCGCCTGACTGCGAGGAATTTTATGGCCCTTATACAGCCGCTAATCACAATCATTGTCCACATTCCTTGTCCCATGAACTGGCGCTCTTTGGCCATCAAATGGCCCTTGCGCCAAAAAACACCATATATCATCATCAAAGTGTTGCCGACCCCTGTCATGGTGCACAACAGTTCACTTGTAAGAGGTAAACGGCGCGAAACACGAAGACAGAGAAATAGAAAGACACAAGGCGAGCGCTCGTCTTGTGTCTTTCTATTTCTCTGTCTTAGTGTTTCGCGCCGTTTACCTCTTACAATGAATCGTTACCAACTTGCCCAGTTTTCAATACTAGACAGTTCACTACTTTACCAAAAGTGGGACTTCCCAGAAATTCTTTATGGATTGCTCACATCTGTATACATGGTGGGGAAGCAAAGGCTGTCAGAACTTCCCCGGTGCATGATCTTTCTCAGCCTATTAGATTGTACGGCATGTTATTTTTTAACTAGGACACTATAGTAAATTGAGCCTAAACACTCACACATTCGTGCAGGTGGCATCACAGGTGGCATAGAAATCTGCATCACTTTTCCCACCGAGTACGTGAAGACGCAGCTGCAACTGGATGAACGGTCAGCAAAGCCTCGGTACAATGGCATTGCAGATGTCGTGCGCCAGACGGTGCGATCGCACGGCGTCACTGGTCTCTACCGGGGGCTTAGCGTGCTCGTCTATGGATCTGTGCCAAAGTCGGCAGTCAGGTGAGCGCTGGCTGATTTCTTCTTTACCAAGCAGTCTGCTTGGTTGGAATTCATAACTACAGCCTCTGAGATGGTGCACACGTTTAAAGGGACCGACAACTGGCCAGAATGGTGTTTAGGCTCTGGTAGAAATGAAAAAACTGTGAAATTGAGTAATATTCCAACATTTCTATTGTATTGTGAGTAGGGTTTATATTTTATAATTACATATAAAGGAGCTCTGCAAGACTTCATGAGCATGGTCGGAAAATGTTGCCGAACAGTGGTCTAGTCTCCAGAGAACACGCGAGCCAAATATTATAGTGCACTACCCGGCGTGGCATTCTCAATAAAGTTTGAAAGTCAGCTAAAAATTGTTCTCTTATTTCTTCAGATGACACTACAAGCTCAAAAAAAAAATTCCGCCATATCCACGAAGTGAATGATGATGAGTGGGCGAAGCTCCGGAGGTAAACCTTGTAAACCATGAATCCTCTGTACATTTTGCCCACTCGATTTTATTACATCGCTCCCCCTAGCGTACGTCGCCGCACTAAATCGAACGATTGCCTTCAACCAATGACACGCGCCATATGTGACATCATTCCTATTTTATAAGATCTCGCGTCTTTCATCAACTACAAGTACCGCTTTCTAGTTTATAACATCTTGCATCTTTTCATCATCAGCTACAAGTACCACCATCTAGTAAACACTACAAGAACTAAACGAGAGGTGGCTACATACAGGAGACGGTACCGCCATCTAGTGAACACTGGAAGAACTAAACTAGAGGTGGCTACATACAGGGGACGGTACCGCCATCTAGTGAACACTGCAAGAACTAAACTAGAGGTGGCTACATACAGGCTACAGGGGATGCACAGCCCACGCCCTAAGGAGCTTCGCCCCTAAAAACAGTCATCACAGCCGTTGTATCAGCTATTGACTTATTTGAGCATGATGCTATCGGTCGTTACTGGGTCAGCGGCGGGAGGCCGGGACTTGTCCATGCATGCGCGCACAGTTACACTGAGAAGCCACATATTAAAACAAAGGATAAAAGAAGAGAGAAAGTGCTCAAGGTCATGAGGCGCATGTGACGTATTTCTTTCTGCTTGCCATCCTTTCTTGCTCATCTTCCAACGCTTTCATCTGTTACAATGTTGGTTCAAATGCAGTGCCCCCACGCGGCGCTGATAGTTGTGTTGAGCTGTGCAAGCCTGGCACAGCAGCGGGGTGGCCGTTTTGGGAAATAATAAAACAGTTCGTTCTGGGCTAAGGGCTCAAGATGTTCTCGTGTTTTTCGCGGGCCTGATGGTCTACTGTTCACGTTTGTCACTACCACCTGGCCATCAGTTAATCTACACATTGTAACAACTGGCGACGAGGATGAAAGGAAGTTTCATGTAAGTCTTCGTTCCCGCAGCTCTCTGCCATCTGTTCACCATGCCAAGTTTCGGCAACCTCGAGCCATTCGAGGGGGGAGGAGACGACTGGCCCTGTTACGTGGACCCTGCTCAAAGCATTTTTCCTGGCGAATGATGTCGCCCCAGACAAGTGTACTGCCGTGTTCATCAGCTGCTGCGGGCAGAAAACGTATGCTTTGCTCCGCAATTTGGTCAAGCCCGCCAAGCCCAGTGACAAGAATCTGGACGAGATTCTTCGAGTACTTGGAAGCCATTATTGTCCAAAGCCCTCTGCCGTCATGCAGCGTTTTCGTTTCAACTCACGCGTTCGCGCGGAAGGGGAATCGGTCAGCAATTTTATCGCAGCACTAAAAAACCTGTCCGAGCACTGCAGCTTCGGGACTGAACTCGAAAACATGCTCCGCGACCGCGTCGTGTGTGGCATAAACAACGTGGATGTCCAAACAAGACTTCTGGAAAATCCGGACCTCACCTTCGACGATGCTGCGCAGACCGCCCTGGCAATGGAAGCAGCAAAAAGAGACGCAAGTGAGATGGCGCAAGAGAACACAAGCAGCGCTTTCTAGACTCACTGTGTCTCGTCAGGTTCTGGGGGCGTCACCTGCTACCGCTGTGGTGACGGACATCTTGCATCAAAATGCAAGCATGTGAAGACAATCTGCAATTACTGCCACAAACGAGGTCATTTGGCGAAGGTGTGCAATTCGAGACGAAGGGACAGCCAACCCCAAAGCAACAGCCCGACCAAGGCACGTTAATTCTCGGCTTGCAGTTCACCGTCGTCGAGTAACCATCATCGTACTTATACGGTACGCAAGCAGGATGCCGCTACCACTTCATTTTGCGAAGTTTTTGACATGTGGCAAGTCGACTACGCCACGCCTCCTCCGCCTTTCACCGTCACTGTTGACGTTTGCGGCAAGCCCCTTCGCATGGAAGCGGACACGGGGGCAAGTGTCTTTGTCATGGCCAAGTTGCGTCTTCTTCAGCTTTTGCCTTCGGTACTTGTGCAGCCGTCACAAGTGCTTCTGCGAAGTTATTCCGGGGAACTAAAAAAGGTTCAGGGCAAAGCTGACGTCAGTGTGGAGTTTCATGGCAGAGAGGCCGACCTACCTATTTTTCCGACCGGAGACGGATCGCCCACTCTTCTTGGACGCAACTAGATGCGTGATCTGGGCATTGGCGTCTCCGATGTTGAAGTGAACATCCACGCACTTTCCGACGTCAAACACATAGTCCAAGACTGCGCCGAAGTGTTTGAAGAAGGCCTGGGTACATTCAAGGGTGCTAAAGCTTCTCTACATGTTCCTTCAGATCTCCGCCTCGGTTCTTCAAGCCACGTCCACTGCCGTACGCCTTGACAGATGGAGTAACTCAAGAAATCCATAGACTAAGAAGAGATTCCATTCTTGTTCCAGTCAAGACAGCAAAGTGGGCTGTACCTATTGTTCCTGTGACCAAAAAGGATGGACGCTTCAGAATCTGTGGAGACTTTGGTGTCACCATAAACCCAGTGGAGCAGTACCCCATTCCAAGGATCGAGGACCTGTGGACTGTGCTTGCTGGAGGTGAGAAATTCACAAAATTGGATTTGCGAGATGTGTACCAGCAAGTTGTCCTTGATGAGGCCTCTAGGGAGTATGTCACAATTTTGATGCACATGGGGTTATTTCAGTACACCCGGTTGCCTTTAGGTGTCTCATCTGCTCCTGCCATATTTCAGCGCGAGATGGAGAACTTGTTCAGGGGACTGGCTCATGTAGCAGTCTATTTTGACGACATTCTTGTGACTGGCGCAAATAATGCTGAGCACCTTCGCAACCTTCGTGCTGTACTTAGCAAGCTTCAGGAATCGGGCCTCAAGCTGAAACTTGAAAAATGCCATTTCTTCGTGCCGCAAGTTGAGTATCTCGGGCACATCATCAGCAAGGAAGGCCTTTCCCCGAATGTTAACAGGGTAGCAGCCATTCTGCATGCTCCTGTACCTCAGGATGTCAGGGAACTTCAGAGTTTCTTGGGACTTGTAAACTTTTACAGGCGCTTCTTACCCAATCTTTCATCGCTCCTTCGTCCACTGCACTTACTTCTTTGTGAAGGGAAGAAGTGAGAGTGGAGACATGAACAACAAGATGCATTCAATGCCTGCAAGCACTTGGTGACATCAGCTCCAGTTCTAGTGCATTTCAACCCTGCCAGGCCTGTTTGCCTCAGCTGTGACGCATCGCCTTATGGTATAGGTGCAGTTCTAGCGCACAAAGATGCTGATGGCGGGGAACATCCCATTGCTTTTGCCTCGAGGAGCTTGTTAAAAGCAGAACAAAACTACAGTCAACTCGACAAGGAGGCACTGGCCTTAGTGTTTGGTGTGGATCGGTTCCACCAGTACTTGTGGGGCATGTCATTCGAAGCACGCACTGACCACAAGCCACTTCTTGGTCTGCTGGGTGCCAACAAGCCCGTTCCCGTGCAAGCTTCGCCTCGAGTGGTCAGGTGGGCTCTGAAGCTGTCTGCCTACAAGTACAAACTTGTAAGCAGACAGCTGCTTATACAAGCCTGGCAAAGAGCTCGGCCACGCTGATGCTCTTAGTAAACTGCCTCTCCCAACTGACGCTACTGCATTACCACGACCTGCTGAAATCTTGCTAGAGGAGGCATATCCGAGACTCCTTTCACCAGGTGTTGTAGCCCAAGCCACACGAAATGACCCACTTCTGGGCCATGTTGTTCTTGCAGTTCTGAAAGGAGAAAGCCTTCCAGTAGGACGAGAGAGGAACCCTTTCAATACCAGAAGCTCAGAACTCGGTCTCCATGAGGGTTGCCTACTCTGGGGATCAAGAGTAGTGATCCCAAAGTCATTGCAGACCCAAGTTCTTGGTGTTCTTCACGCCAGCCACCCGGGTATCGAGAAGAGCAAGATGATTGCCAGGAGCCATGTTTGGTGGCCAGGCATTGACAATGATATTGCCAACAGCGTGAAGAGCTGCGCTACGTGCCAGACTCAACATCGAGCTGCACAGCCGGTTCAGCAGACACCGTGGCCTTTTCCACAGCGACCCTGGTCAAGGCTTCACATTGATTTTGGGGGACCATTTCCAGGTCGCACATTCTTGGTTATTGTGGATGCGTTCTCAAAGTGGATAGAAGTCTTTCCTGTGTCTTCTACATCTGCAGAAGCTATCATTTCTGCATTGAGAATTGCATTCGCTCAGCATGGCCTGCCTGGTGTCATAGTTTCAGACAACGGTCCTGCCTTCACCAGTGCCAGTACCTTGAGTTCTTAACTCGAAGTGGAATACGCCGCATGCTTGTACTGCCGTATCACCCTGCCTCAAATGGTGCAGCTGAAAGAGTTGTACAAACTGTGAAGAACAAACTCAAGAAGTCTGGTTCTGGGAACTTCCAAACGCAGATCTCCAGGTTTCTGTTCCACTTTAGGACCACACCACATAAAGTGACAGGTCGGCCACCGTGTGAACTCCTGACAGGAAGAATGTTCAAGACTCCGTTGGATGTCCTCAGGCCAAGCCTGCAGGCATCTGTAAATAAATCTGAGGTACCTGTAAATAAATCTGTATTCCTAAAACAACTCAAGCAGAAGTTGTATGCTGACAGAGGGTCCCGGCAGGCTCCATCACTGCAGCCAGGTGATGATGTGTACGCGCGAAACTTTCGCAGGGGCACACTCTGGATGCCTGCCAGTGTCGTGGACGTCACTTCATCATCAGCCAGTGTCTGTTTTGAAGATGGCACCTTAGGAAACCGGCACAGCGACCACTTGCACCTTGTGCAGACAGAAACATTGGCCTCTCCTCCTGAAACTGCTAACGCTGCAGCTCCACCACAGTTGGAGCTGCCGCTTCATCATGCAGCTATTCCAGAAGTGCCTCATCAGGAACAGCTACCCGGAACTAGCTTCTCTGGGAGTAGCTGTGCCAGAGAGTGACGGGACAGCGCTCAACAGGGGTGTGCATGTGAACAGTGACTCTGTCGTGCCTACGGCTAGCATGCCGAAGTTGCGACATGGCACAAGAACTAGGAAACCGGTGAATAGGTACTCCCCGTAGTCTTCCTCCTTAGAGGGGAGGAGTGTTACAATGTTGGTTCAAATGCAGCGCCCCCACGCGGCGCTGATAGTTGTGTTGAGCTGTGCAAGCCTGGCACAGCAGTGGGGTGGCCGTTTTGGGAAATAATAAAACAGTTCGTTCTGGGCTAAGGGCTCAAGATGTTCTCGTGTTTTTGGCAGGCCTGATGGCCTACTATTCACGATTGTCACTACCGCCTGGCCATCAGTTAATCTACACATGTAACATCATTGAGATGAGAGGAGGGAGAATGCAATCACAGCCTTCAACAAATCTTTGTAAGTCCACTCATTAGGGACGGATTCTGAAAATTGTTGCAGCAGTGAGTTCGTAAGGCACTAAGCTCCTTTAGTGAATCGATTCTATGGCTGCTTGAAGAAGCGTTGCAGGGTTCCTTTCGAAGTAACAAAAACCGGTATGTCGAGTTGTCTACTGGAAGTGCCTTAAAGCTGGATTATTGAGTCGGTCACTTTGCTGTACACAGTCGCGCAGTCTGTCGCTGTCATGCATGCCAAATAATTAGTGCTCAAAGGTGGAGTATTTATCATTCTCCCTCAATAGCTTTCTTCGTCACGAAACTGCCGCCTCAGTTCAATATAGAGCTGGCGGCCTTCACGGGCACCGCAGGAAAGGAAAGGACACCTAGAGAAATGGCCACTGCAAGCAATACTTGTTTTTTATTGTTACGAGCCTCGTCGGTGGCCGCAGCAGACCCAGTAGGTAGCGTGGAGCTGGGTGGTGGTCGTCATTCCGCAGGCCACGGGGATGTTCAGAACTCGGAAAGCTGAGGCAGAGGGACTGGCGTAGTTAACAAGACGTTTATTTGCAACATGTCGGACAGTAACGTCCGAACGACGACTCTTCTCGCGACTCTCTCCTGTTTTTTTCTGGCGGGCTGCTCCCGCTGCCTCGCCGTCTAGTTCCGAAGATAGGGACGGAATGTCACTTCGGGGAACCAACCACCCATGGAGAGCACAACACAAGTATCCCTTCACACACGTGGCAGATGCACGTGGCACACGCGAGGGGACTCGGAGGCGACCGCGCAGGAGGAATTCATGGCAGTCGTCTCTGTAGCACACAACCGGCCTTCCGCACATTCCAGAGGGGCCCGCCCATAGCCACTGCCCTGCAGGCGAAGCGCACAGCCGAGACAAAGACAGCCGGTGCATGTGACAACCCGTACCCCATAAAAGAATGTTCGATATGACGGGAAGTCACGCTTGGGGGCAGCTGGTCCGAGGACTTCGTTACTGCTTTGTAACATTATTCACTGGTACATCGCAAAGGACTTGAACCTCTTAGACAATGTATGCATTTTATTTTGGCGTAAAAATTGTACAAATTTAAAACAGGTTCCAGTCGAAAAATGCAAGTTTTGCTTTTTCAAAATTGCATGTTTTTGCGAATGAGTTCTACGGAAACCCACAAAATGGCGCAAGGGTCAAAAAAGAGAAAGAAGGCAAGCACCCATTTGTAGAGGTGTGCACCAAGGCGGTTTCGACAGGCGGCGGCGTGGGGCTCGTTTTGAGTCGGCGGCGGTGACGTCTTCGGCGCACGGCGGGTAAAATCATTGGCGGCGGCGTACGGCCCCTTTTTGTCATCGGCGGCGGCGGCGGCGTGGCAACTGAAACCACAAGTCGAAAAAGCTCTTTACTGCGTCTTTTTTTTTTTGCTTAATTGGCTGAAATTCAGAGCTTTTAGTGCTAACTGCAAAATATGACATATGAAATTACTAGAATTGGCAAACGTTTCATAATTGCTTGGTTTTTGAGCATGCACACTGAAAATGAGGGAAAAAAGTGGGGCGAGGGGGGTACTTGTATCAAGTCTTGTATAGTACATTACTAAGTTTTGGGGACGTTTTGAGCAATCGTTTAGCGTTCGTCAAATGGTAATTACCACGGCTGGGATCGAACACGCATCAGAACAATTTGCCACCGCGGTATGTATTTTGAATTTATGTTTATTGCTTCCACACATGTGCACCATTTTTTAGGGGCGAAACTACGCAGGGTGCGGGTCTGTCCATCTTCTGATGGTGTATGTAGCCACTGGTGCCACATACCCAAAATAGTGGTCCTTAACATGCCCGCTGGATGGCGCACTTCTATATGAGGAATACATGATGAAAAGATTTGAGATGGCTGTACTTGGCAGTGTTCAGTAGATAGACGGACGAACGTACGGATGGATGCACAGACAGATAAAGGGTGGACGCACGGACGGACTGACAGACTGAGGGATGGCCGCACGAACAGACGAAACAACGGACGTATGGACTGGTGCATGGAAGGGCGCACGGATGAATGGATGCACCGACAGTCACATGGATGAACGGACGCACGGACGGAAGCAAGAAAGAATGGGCGGACGAAAGCACGAGCGGACTGACGAACGTTTTTGCCACCAATCATCAGACACTTCGTGGATGTTTTTTTTTTTTTTGTACTGTCTTTGCATATGTCTCACAATATTCATGGCGGTAACCTACTGGCATGTCATTTGACAGAATGACGAACCCAGCCTTGAAGGACGCGTGCACACAAGATTCAACACGCAAGCTTGGACGTCAGTATTTTTCATAAAGCAACACGGTTCGAAAAGAAAACTAAGATGAACATGTGCTACATGTGATGCAGCTAGTACAGATGAAAACACTGTGCATGAGACGATCACATTATAAATAAACAACACGTGCGCATGCGCTGTAAAAACCATGAAGATTGAACCCAGGGAACTATACAATCTTAATTACATTTCTCTAAAAAGCTTCTTTTCGTGATAACGCTATGGGAGGTACACGATCAGGATTGGTTTTTTTTGTGAATTTTATATACTTCAGTCAGTTCCCTATCGCATATCGTTGTATTTGATATATTTTTTCCTCAGTTCCCTCTCGCATTTATTTCATTGCTGGGTATCTTAAAAACTGGCGAGCAACTGCACTCTCTGCAGTCGAGCAGGCGAGTCTCCTCACGATGATGTGATGAACATTTCTTCAGGTTTTTTGAGCGTCCCGCCTGGCCTATGCACACTGTACGACAAAACAAGGAATGGCCGAAATACCTGTCCATTTCTTCTTCCTCATACAACAAGGAAACGGTATACAATACAAATGATATCTAACAAAATACTAAGCCCTTAAATGTACACTTCTTATCTCACATTTGCGAGTAATTCGGTTAATCTATTACATGGGCAGTTGTGCCTACTCCTTGATTTTCGGATTTGATGATTTCACAAAATCGCGAAAGCATTCCATGGTGCCGTGAATTCAGCAATTTTTTTTTCACGCTATGAGAAATCTGGTACTACCGCTTGCCTACTGTACACACTTTAACGTGTAGCTGAAGTTTCATCTGTTTCTTCTTTAACTTCCTTTTCATTTCATTTCAACCTTGAGGCCTTACAACAGGTGACTCAAGGGCTGCAGCTTTTCAATGAAGGCTGTCCAAGTGCCGCCTATTTCCCTCCACAATTGTAGGTATGCATGACCCCCTAAGTATGCACGTTCTTTCTACCAAGAGTCTTTCCAAAGAAACAAAAAAGTGGGGATGCTGTAAGGGGGGTGGGGGGAGAGGGAAGGGGTTAAAAAACAATAATTTACATTGCCACTTCCAGAAAAACTTTCCAGCTTTCTTTCTCTTTTTTTTCTTAAAGTGGAGTAGCTGTGGAATGGCACACATGTACTTGTTCGCGAAACACGTTGTTGGGTCGCTCCGGCGCAGAGTCAGAGAAAGCGGTGATCCTTTTCCTCTTCTTCCTGTTCCTCCGGAAGGCTGTGGGCCTGCTGATGGCCGTCCCAATATGTTCTCCCAACTCGATAAGTGGGGCGCTATGCAGCCCGACGAGGCCAGAAGTTCGACGACAAATTACTGCAGTGGTTCCCGGCCACACCACCCTTCTTGAGGAGAGCGGTGTCACGGTGGATGACAACCAGCCACAATAATTGAGCGTGGCGAACGGCGATCCTTTTTTTGCTCCATTGCACGAGCGTGAGACCTATGCCCATGTCTTTCTCACATCAAGAAAGGGACACTTAAACTGTGGTGGTAATGCCTAGTAAAAAACGTCGACCTGCAGGAGGGCCAGGGCTCAGTGGAGACATCTTCGTCTAGTTTCACGATATATCCATCACATGACGCTTGTCCTGTGATTATTCTAAATAAACGTCAAGTTTCCTTCTACTGAAGGAAATTTAGTATCTTCAAGCTGCCTTGACCCTGTCTTTGCAAATCTCCTGTGCCAGAACGATTGGACACAACACTTCTAGAACCGCTGATGATATCTCTTGAGAGTTTAATGCCGTTTGTAATCTGTCATATAGAGGGCTCTTTTTTTATTTGGCAGTTTTATCAATTCTTCGATTACTTGCATAACGATGATCTACGGTAAAACACTATGCACAATTCAGATGATTTTTCTGAATATTTCATACAACATGCTAAAAGGAGGTCAATCAGTCTGTATAGTTTGTGGATGTATGGTGTAACAGATCACGTCGTGTGTTGATGAAGTAAATTCCTAAATGCGCATGGTGGGAAGTTATCAGGAGAAGAGAAAGTGCGTGAGGACAGTTGTTACGTCACTCGCATGGTGATAAAAGTGATGATCTTTAGCGAACATTACTTTATAAGAAACCATCCAAAAGCACGAAAACAGCGAAGGAACCGGACAGGACAAGTGTTGGACTAAAAACTAAATATTTAATAAAGAAAGCCCCCACACACATGAACCATCAGCGCATGCGTAAATGGGTTATGAGAGCCTAGTATGTTGCACATTTAACAAAACAAAGCCAAGAATTAAGCATGTCAAGGTGTCGCAAACAGCGCATTTCCACAAAGCCAAAATATCAACTCCACGTGTGCCTGTTGACTAAAAACTGAGGGTTTGCATCGCATATGTCACGTTGCCTTTTTTATTATATAGATAGGCTTCGCATGCCCCGCCGTGGTGGTCTAGTGGCTAAGGTACTCGGCTGCTGACCCGCAGGTCGAGGGTTCGAATCCCGGCTACGGCGGCTGCATTTCCGATGGAGGCGGAAATGTTGTAGGCTCGTGTGCTCAGATTTGGGTGCACGTTAAAGAACCCCAGGTGGTCAAAATTTCCGGA